ACTCGCAACTCGAGGGTGTTGTTTTGTTTTCACCCTAGTTGCAAGTCCACCCCCGACTTGCAACTCGAGGCATGTAGTTTTTTTAGGGGCCCAATTGCAAGTCAACCTTCGACTCGCAACTAGGGGGCGTATATTTTGTAGGGGCCCCAATTACAAGTCAACCATCGACTCACAATTGTCCGTGTGCGGATGGACTGGCCCAGGCACACTCGTCCGCTATTGTAATACTTTTGGACAAACAAACAAGAGACAATACGTGGAATGATGCCATACTTAGATGTGACATAACTATTCAAAAAGAATTGTCCGTGTTTTCAAGAAAGTGTTAGTGTTTCAGAAAATATTCAAAATTTTAAAAAATTAATATCATTTTAAAAACTTTTTGAGATTTTTAAATTGTTCATGTTTTCAAAAATTGTTTGTGTTTTCAAACATGTTTGCAACTACAAATATTGTTCACATTTTTATTAAAATATTCTGCATCTATAAATTTGTTCACAATTTTTTAATAAATGTTCAAAAAGGTTTCAAATCTGACTATGTAGTGAGTTCCTAAATATTCACACTGAATAATTATCACAATCATCCATTTGTTCTAGTGGCTAGAAGACACGCGTTAAGTAGTTGGAGCTCGGTAGTTCGATTCCTTCTTAACTGTGGCTTTTGTCTTGCAACGTTTTCTTGTTTTTTCTCAGACGAAACAACACACTTAGGATTTTTTTCCTGTCTGCTACAAACCAACAAACTTCGGTGCCTAGCTGTGTATACCGGCCCAGTCGAGACGCACTCAGCTTGTTTAGCACCAACGGAGAAACTTGGCTGGACAACCATCAAACAAAAAAAAACGAACCAGTTGTAGAAAGTTGTCAATGAAAGAGCCACAAACAAAATGTGACATCATGTTAGATGTGAGATATTATCCCACATCTAGATGTGACATAGACAAACCCTTAAAAAAAACTACTTTTGTTGTATTGTTCAACCGTGTAAACGAGCATCTCTAGCAAAACCCTTATAACCGAAGCCCTCAAATGCCTCCTCTAACATTAACTCCTTAAATTTGTGAAGTTAACAAAAAAAAAATGTTCCTAGTCGAACTCTCAAATTTAACTCCTAATTTTTTTTCCACACAATTTTCATTGAACATATAAATTGAAAGTACTTGATTCGAACTCAAACTTAAACAAAGCTAGCACATCATATATTGTATAACATAATTTTGGATAGTTCAATCTAAGCTAATATAAATTTAAATAGTCCTAATTGTCTTCCATCATGAGCTTCTCCCAATCCACGCAATCATCGGGTGAGTCGTCGGACAAAAGTTCGATCACGGAGGGTCCGACCACTAGTAGAAAAACACCTATTAGTCCCGGTTCGTAAGGGTCTTTAGTCCCGGTTCATGAACCGGGACTAATGGGTCGTTACTAATACCTCCACCCATTAGTCCCGGTTCAAACACGAACCGGGACCAATGTGCCTCCACGTGGCCCTGTGCGCCGAGCCCAGTCAGGGGGCCTTTGGTCCCGGTTGGTGGCTCCAACCGGGACCAAAAGGCATCCACGCGTCTGCATTCCAGTGGCTGAGGTTTTTGTTTTTTGTTTTTGAAAGGAGGGGGGTTGGGGGTTTTGGGGGGTTAATTTAGGTGTTTCATATATTGTGTTAGCTAGCTAATTAATAGAGAGAAGTGTCTCTCTTATGTCTGTGCTTGGTCGACGCTACGTACTATATATACATAAGTGATTGAGAGAACCATTCAGTACAAAAGTTCGTCATGCATACCGAGAGAAGTGATCGATCGACCTCTCCTTCTCCGAGAGATTGGTCGAACAACAAGTTTTCGTATCATGTATCCGACGCTACTGGCTACATACATGTACAATATGTATAAGATCTCTTAATTACACAAACCCCTAGCATTTGAAATCAATTTCCACATGGTATTCTCCGGCTTTACTGATGACGTGTTCAAGAAAGAATCCCGCCAATTCCTCTTGAATTGCTTTCATGCGATCTGGTTCTAAGAGTTCATCCCGCTTCTGCCACGTCTAATTTGAAGAAAGGGGTTAATTAATACATATATATGAATGAAACTCAACAGAAATGATGGTGTAATAAAATTAAATTGTGAATATTATTGCTTACGCACTTCATATTTTCTTCTAGAGTAGCCTCGCTTGTTTTTCAAAGTCGCGGTGTAGATGAACTCGCACACGTAGTATCCACAGAAATCATTCCCTTCCTCCTGCCACAAGCACTTTACGAGAAATAAAGGTCAATCAAACTGATAATGAAGCATTATAAATGGCATTGATGAAAGTATAGCTATAGAATCAACGGGAGATGCGCGCAACTAGCTAGCCAGTAGTACTTACTTTCGGGTATTTATATCGCAGCTCCTTCGGCAGTCCCGGAGCTTCTGCGGTGAACTGTTTTCAAACCCTGCAAGACAAAGAAAATAATTATTATTACTTGAGATATCAGGAAATGAAGAAAAAGTTGCCGATATGGTGCGATAATGATCGATTGAACTTACTTACTGAGCATTTCAGTGATGTCCACATAGGTTTTGGGATCTTTTCGTCTCGAGTCTAAGACGGTTACTAGTCCACGCTCAAGCTTAATCTCCAGAAGAATATAGTGGTACCTGCGCACGCATGCATAACTCATCAATTACATTACTATAACCTCGCTTGAGTAATAAGGGAAACCGAATATGCACACGACAGTAACACTCATGGGCCGTTGTAAGGAAAGAGTATGGTATCTTTGTTTTGATTTTTGATCAACGATTGTAGCAAGTTTTCCTCGGCCTCTTTGACGTTCTTTTCAACCAGAAATACATCTATGATATTTGTGTTAATGAACCCAATATCATAAATTTCTTGTTTTTTGCACTCGACGATCTTCAATCTGCATAATATATTGAGGATAATTAATTATAAATACATGCAATGAAAGAGCCGAGCTATATATAGAGACTTAATGACAAAAATAGTACTTACAGGCAGTAGCAAAAGACCATTAATTTATCGAGGGCCTTTTGATTGAAGAACTCGAAGAACTCCTCAAATGGAACACACAACAGATCATTTGAAACGAGGTCGTGCTCCTCTTTAATGTTCAGATACAAACTGTTCGTCCCCTCAGACTCTCTGCAGGTTTTCATGTACCAACTACGGAATCTTCGCATCATTGTTGTCAGAGATTTTTCATCTTTGACGAGAGGCTTCCCGTACTCGTATCTGTGTTCATCCACCACCATGAAATCAGGAAGTGCATCGTCAGGCAGGTAATCTTCAAGATTGCCATAA